TGAACAGCCAAGTTCTGTCACCACGTTCTAGAGGACCATCGGCCCCTCACCATTGTGTGGGCTCCCACTTCCCACTCAGCTGCCTCCAGCAGGGGGAAGGCAAAGCTCACATCCTGGTCCTTCTGAAGCTGCTTCTCTGAGCTCTCTGCTTCCCACTGTCTTCTTAACTCACTCATGGGCACTCTCCACTCACTGGGCCACTGGCCACATCCTGACACAGCTCTGGTTAGCAGCTGTGGGAGGAGGCTGTCTCTCTCCTCGTGTCTGTCTTCCCTTGATCCCTGCACTGCTGAGCTGGAGCCTTGTGGGTTCACAGCACTGTTGGGAACACTTTGGAGAATTAATGGATCACAATATAGCAGAGGCAAAATTAAACTAGTTGCTAAAAATGGGATCATTTGAATTCCTCCTGCAGACGTCTTCCAGCTCATGGCTACATGCTCAGCCTCAGTTCTTTTCAACACACCCATTGTTGAAATCTCCTCTTGCACCTACAAATAACAAACAAACATCACATTCATGAACACACACACAAACACACATATACAAAAACACACACATACACACACACTTAGTTTGTGTTTCTAGGTTTTCTCTCCAATTTGTATCCAAACATACTAAAAACCATGGGTGCACACTATTACCCACATTTTAATGGAATATTGCCACAGGTTTCCTTTTATTTCCCAAATTTCAGCATTTCGAACCTACACCTGTTACTGAAAAAAAAAAAAAAACTATGTTTATTATCTCTTGTAGGCTCTCAAGTGACAATCTCTTGATGCTGCCCATCACCCTCCCTCATCCTCCACTAAGCTGCCTGTCTCTCCAGGACAGGCTCCAGCCCTCAGGTCAAGCCTGTGTCCCCTGAACGGAGGCCTTCCTCCCTTTAGCTGGATGTTCCCTCTCAGGACCAGACACCTGGCTGAAGTTCTCATGTCATGACTGAGGAAGGTCTCATTCACCAACCTTTTGTGCTGAATCTGATGTTAATCCCTGAGGAATCTCTACTTACCCCCTGGGCTTTACACTCCACCTAGGTCACCTCCATGTACAGAAGCCCTCATCCCCCTGGAAGGTACTGAGTGGCCACACAAAGCTATCCATCCAGGTAGACAGCTTCCTTACCTCACTTTGCACAGGTGCATTCCTCACTCTACACAGGTATACTCCTCACTCTACACAGGTGACCTCCTCACTCTACACAGGTGCCCTCCTCACTCTACACAGGTGCACTCCTCACTATACACAGGTGCACTCCTCACTATACACAGGTGCACTCCTCACTATACACAGGTGTACTCCTCACTATACACAGGTGCACTCCTCACTATACACAGGTGTACTCCTCACCATAAACAGGTGCACTCCTCACTATACACAGGTGCCCTCCTCACTATAAACAGGTGCACTCCTCACTCTACACAGGTGCCCTCCTCACTCTACACAGGAGCACTCCTCACTCTACACAGGTGCCCTCCTCACTATACACAGGTGCCCTCCTCACTATACACAGGTGACCTCCTCACTATACACAGGTGCCCTCCTCACTATACACAGGTGCCCTCCTCACTATACACAGGTGCACTCCTCACTATACACAGGTACACTCCTCACTATACACAGGTGTACTCCTCACTATACACAGGTGTTTCCTCACTATACACAGGTGCACTCCTCACTATACACAGG